GCTACAACCTACGCTCCCGTCCTGCAAGAGCTTTTGTGGAAGCATTTGATGAGTTTTGCACAGGAAGGGCTTGAAAAATTGGTCTGTTGTTCTATCTCTGAAGCTGGAAATCTCTGTAGAAACCTTACCATGGAAAGGATCATACATCAACACTATCCCACTGCATAAAGGCAAAATGAAATCAAAGCTAAGGCTTACAGAACAAGAGACAAATCAGGCTAACTGAAAGTCTGCCTATATTGCCAACCAAACTACAGCTTCTAGTTTATTTACTAAAGATGAAAAAATTATTTGCAATCATTTATTCCAGTTAGGCTTCTTGTTCAGTCTGAAATGTGTCTGACACCAGTTGTTACTTTTTCAAAATTTGTTATTTTTCGTTTGTGTTTTGTTATTTTTTTCAAAATTTGTTATAACATTTTTAAAAATTGATTCCAATAATTTGTTATGGAATTAATTTTCTCTGTGAGCTGCTATTTAAAATCAAAACTGTTGCCATGCTGCAAATTAAGGATGTCTATACATGGGCTCCAGGGGGGCAGGGAGGGTAAATGTGCTTTACTTAGAACAGCTCTGCGCCCACAGCGTCACATGTATTCAGCATCCTGTACTTCAAAATCGTGGTGGGGTCACTTTAACTAAAGCTCTTTCAAAGAGCTTTAATTAAAGTGCCCCTGCCACCATTTTGAAACATGAGGATGCTGAATGCACACGATGCGGAAGCTGCTGGAATGCACTAATTAGCATGCTCTGGTAGACTCGATTAATCAAGCTAATCAGCACGCATTGGGGCAGAGATCCATCCCTTGTATGGCTGCCCTAAGTGTTCTTCTGGAAGTATTTTGCATATAGGAGCACACGCTTTTTCCCTTTCCTTAGTGTTCTTGAAAGTAAAAGTTGACTACAAGTGTTTCTGGAAACAAAGCTGATGTATGAATGCTGAAAGCAAATTTTGTATTTAAGTTATTATAGAAAATGCTTTTATACAATTTGCCAGGATAAATATCATATACACTCAACTTTCTCATACATACTGTTAAAGGTAATTTTTTTTACTTAGCTGCCACTCTCTTAAAAAGGTTGGTTACATTTCTTCAGACTACCAGAGACAAGATGACAATAAACTTGTATAGAATATTGCATGTATTAAAACAAACCAACTTCCAAGCGAAGTGGTGCTAGCTCCTTCCTCGGGGGTCTTTAAGACAAGGCTAGACAAACACCTTGCTGGGGTCATTTGACCCCAGTACTTTTTCCTGCCATGGCAGGGGGTCGGACTTGATGATCTGCTCAGGTCCCTTCCGACCCTGCAAACTATGAAACTATGAAAGAACAAAAAACTATAAGGTTAGAGTGGAGGTCACTTAAATTCCAGGCCTCACCTTCTCAAGTAGTGAGAGGAATAATGGGCTCTTTTTGTATGTGGTTTTTGGTTTGTTAATGTGTGCTTTTTCTAAATCTCTTCATGAAAATTAAAATTTCTACTCCCTAGGTCAGAATGACTGTGGAAACCAGGAATGAAAGGTAAAGTTACTAATAGTAGTTATTATTTGATAACTGTTATAAAAATGAACTGCCTGATAGAGAGGTTTATTTTAAGGCTGCATCAAAGGGTCAGGCTATGATTTTAGAGCAGCATCAAAAGTCTCATTGTTCTCAAATTGCCAATATCCAGTAGAGATGCACTACATCTCAACTGCCCACTACACCCTTAGGAACTGTTAGGAAAGGGCTGTAATTTTGTACTAACAACTGCTTTGAATAGGAGGTACTAATGTCCAAAAAGGCACCACTGCCATCTGGTGTTCAAATAAGACAGCTTATGGTTATTGGTGACTGATAATAATACAATTTTTTTTCAACCAAAAATAAAAATAAAAAAGTGCTTGGTTTTCACTGGCCTCTTATGCTTTCTATGTAGTCTTCAACAAAGCAGATATCACTTAAGGCATGGATGGGCAAACATGTCCACTGGTGTAACTTATACCGATGTAAATTACATTGATATCTTGAATAGGCAAATATGCAGCTACCCTGGGGTATTGCACATGGTGAGTGGCTATTACTGTATGTACTTGAACCCGAGATGACCCTAAATTTAAGATCCCCCCCACAAAATAATTAGATACATGGAAAAATTTATAAATTCATTGTTCCCACTGCTGCAAAAAGGCAGGCAGTGGGAAGACAGGTGGTGTGGGGAGGTCAAGTAGCTTTTCCCCTACCACCTCCGCCCCCTCTCTGCTTCCCCAGTGTCTGCTCCCCGATTCCACACCCCAGCCTCTGCTCTTCACTGGCCAACTTCGTTCGTGTTCCAGCCTGTGGCACTGAGCACAGCCCCACCCCAGTCCTGTAGTAGCTGTGGGGGCTGTAAGCTCCTGCTGTGGGGCTGAGCTGGGGCTGGGGCTGGGGCTATGCTCAGTGCATGGAAACTGCTGGTGAAGAGCAAGGGTAAGGTGGGGGTGGGAGTGGGCCAGGCAAGGTGAGAGTAGATGGGGAGAAGAGGGTGCAGAGATGGCAGTCACCTGCCCCCCACTGCCCTAGTACACAATTATAAGACAAAGGTTTTCCCTCCCCTGTCCCCGCTCAGTGTTAAATAGGAAAAAAAAAGACCTGCCTTAGAATCATGTAAACATGGTATTGTGTTTTGCAGCAGGGTAACAAGAAAGCAACTGTTTGCCTTTAGCAAATGGCTATCTCACTATGGATATGGACAGAAAGCCTAGTTCAGTATATCTTAGGTTGGTTGAAAGCAGGACAGAGAAGCACCTTAAACCAATTGAGTTCCATCCTCAGTTCTTTCAGGGGATTCTTGGTGGCAGAGCTGTGCTGCTACCCAGCATATCCACAGGTGGTGGATAGTGGAATGACCTTCACAGAAGGTTAGCTGTGAAATAAACAGGGGTAACTCTGACAAATAAGCAGTCATGGACCAAGCAGTGGCAGCACCACCAGGATGTGGTGGGGACAGCAAGTGGCAATGCTCTCCCTCCTGAAAAGCCACATATATCTTCTGATGGTGTTATGCAATGGCAAATACAGATTGCCACTATAGTAAGCCTGTTCAGCCCCCCAGCCATGGGTCTACTCAAGTCCTCAACAGCAGAGCAGGCGAAATAAGAAGTTAGAATCTCAACAGCTTGTGAAGGCAGCCAAAGGCTGCAGCGTAATGAGATCGCCAATTGTCTTGGCCCCCTTGCCATTGGATTAGGGTCCTGTTCTGTCAAGAACTGTGTAGAAACTGACATGCAGAAGCTTTTCCATAATAAAAGAAATCACACACGGGCATCTTCCATGAAAATGGCTTTAGCTTGCAGTAGAACTGTTGATCCTGGTTTGGCCTTGTCAGCCATCTCTGAACCCACGGATAAGGCAATTATGGAAGACAATCATCCTTGACTGCAAGGGATTGCTGATGATTCCTCACTAACTGAGCCAAAGTTACTTTCATTTAGTGGGCTGCAGGCACAGCTGGTAAACTCAGACTAGTGGGGCAAATGGAGCATTGGGGATGGGGAGGAAGGGGATAGCAGCTGGCTGAGCACTCAGGCTGGGAGCGGGGAGGCTGCAAACCCCGCCTGGATGCACAGATAGATTTTTGCAGCAGATACCGATAGCTGATTTTTAAGGAGGCACATTGGCTGATACCAATCCAATTTCCGATATGCAGCTCTTCAGCTGCGTCCAGCTGGTAAGTCTGGTGTGGTGAAAAGGGGTGGGGGGAATGGGGCTGGGGCAGGCACTGACCAGCCAGAGTGGGGAAGAGTGTGGGACAGAGCCACAAGCAGCTCATCCCGGGGAGTGGGGGGCTGCCCCCTGGATCTGCATGGGGCGGGCTGCAACTGTGGGCTGGGGCGGCTGCGGGACTGAGGCGTGGCTCATCGGGGGGCATGGGAATGGGGAGGACAGCTCCCGGCGCTGCGCATGGCTTGTCCAGTGCTCGTCTAGTGACTCTCATCACTCCTCCCACCACTCGTGAAGGGGGGGGGGCGCCCAGCTGCAAAGAGCCCAGGTGCAGCCTGCCCCACCCCATGCAGATCCAGGGGCACACCCCCTCCCCCCCAGACAAGCGGAGAGAGCAGCACCCGGAACCAGCAGACAAGCACTGGACAAGCTACTCGCAGCAGTGGGAGCGGCCCCTGCGCTCCCCCAATGAGCTGCACCACTGTCCTGTGCTTGCCCCAGTCTCAGCTGGGCAGCCCCTGCTCCAACCCCACACTCTCCCTCACCATGGGGGGCCTTGATCTGCCCCCCATGCCCCTTCCCTTCCCACCAAACCAGACTTACCAGCTGCATGCAGCTCTCCATGCTGCCAGTTCTGCTCCTCACGGCCTACTTGCTGTGCTGCAGCACGCACACGCAGACATTTATTGGACAAATTATTGGCCACATCAGGCTGACTTCCAATACAGAAAACGTTCTTTATATTGGTGCCGATCCGATATTGGAATGATGCATAAGTGCACCTCTACAACGAATAGACAGGTGCGTTGATCTAAGGTCCTAGACAGGGAACAGGTTGCAGTCTTCCTCAAAGAGTGTCAGCTGTCATGAAAATAACCATGGGCATGAGGAAAGTCAACCTACTACTGTGTGGGCTACACACGTAATTAGAGATCTATTATCTGCCAGAAAAAGATTTTTGCTTTTAGGATCCTGATCTTGAAGCAACATGCACATATAGACACCTTGTATTTATGAAAGAAAGTATTAGTTGACAGCATATTACTGAACACTATAACTGAACTTTTAATGTAACATTTTAATGAAAAACTCCACAGAAATGGCATATTTTGTACTTTTCTTTAGATCAGTTTGAAAGGTGAAACACTTCAAACTTGTGAGACCAGGTTCAGATACTCAGTCTTAGTAGTAGCATACTTCACAAATACTCATATTCCAAGCAACTACTGAATGTAGATAAGAGTACTGTAATCTGATTGGTAATGATTTTAGGCTCAGTTAGTCAAGGTGAGTATGCAAAATAACTCTTTCCTTACCCAAGCTGTGCTTATCTTTTTGTCTTTCTTCCCATTTTGAACTGTCCACATAAGCAGCAGAAAGAAGACATCTTTTGCCTAATAAAAATAAAATTAATCTCAAAAGCCAGATCACTGATAAAGGTGTCAAAATAACAAAATAAACACTTTATTAACCATAATATTATGCTGTCCATTTACAAAATTAAATGCCATAAATTCTCTGGCAGCTACAGCAAGAAGTCCTTAGGGCCCGATCCAGAGACATGCTCCAGATCTGGCCCACCAACTCAAATGAGTTTGACATCCCTGTTCTAGAAGATAGGGACAAGTGCTGAAGCCTGAAAGGAAGGAAACAGCACGTTGTACAGGGAACATGTGAAGCTTGCAGATGTTGCTGCTATTGAAAGAAGTTCAGAGTTAAATGTATAGCGCTGGGAGAGCGATACATGAAGTGTTTGCTCTAAGTACATTATTATTATTGTCCAGTATACGTTGTCCCTGGTTTTTAAAGTCCTCATCTTAAAGACCCATAAACTAAAAACTTCATAGAAAAGAACAATACAAATTCAATCTTAATCCTAAATTTATTTATGGTTGACAGCAAAGGAATGATCTTCTTTCACTTTGCCCCCCCACATCTAAAGATATTTAAAACTAATGCCTAACTCTTTGTAAATTTGAATAGTTTCTGTTAAAAATTCACTGTTTTAGATTTAACAGTCCCAGTAGTGCAGCCTTGTATCAGCTCAGGTGAATGTTAAGAGCAGATACTCAAATACTATGGTGGTAAATACAGTATAAATTAATATTTGGATTCAAAGCCTATGCTAGTCCATTTATTTCCAGTTAATAAGGTAGAAAAATGCAAAAGTAAAATAAGATGCAATAAAAAAGCTTTTGCCTATCTTGCAGAGGCAATCTCAATGTACCTTATGAGAGAGTGAAGGTAATTACAATATCTTAGTTTTACAAGCAAGGACAGGTGAGTCAGACAGGCTGCCAAATGTCGGTATCACAAAGGGACTTTTAAATGGTGGGTATCCTCACCACAACCTACTGGTGGGCAAGGTGATAGCCACTAACTGTTCAGGAGTAACTGACTAACAAACTTGAGCAGCAGCCCCGTGATTCTGCTTATTGTAACTTTCTACCCATACAGTTTATTATGTTACATCTATTGTGTATTGCAGATTCATTTTTCTATATTGCCCCTCCTCCCTTGTCATCCCAGGCATAAATGGCCCTTCATGAACAAACCACTTGGCCAACACATGCCCAAGTGGCACGAGCAGACTTTGTGTAGCGTGCAGCAGAGATCGGACAGGGAGCACCGGGAAGGAAGCAGAGGGCACAGCAACAGATCAAACAGGGAAAAGGGGGGAGGGAGCAGATAGCAAAGCAGCAGATAGCAGAGCAGCAGACCGGGCAGCGAGAAGGCAGCGGATAGCAGAGCAGCAGATCGGGCCGCACAGGACTGGGGGCAGGAAGCAGAGCAGGGGACCGGGATCTAGGGAAGGCCGCGGCCTAATTCTGCAGCCCGCTGCCACAGCCCCGAGCCCCAGCACTGGACTGCTCCATTCCCGACACCCGCCCGGCCCCAGCCACGGCCCCGGCCCCGGCCCCGGCCCCGACCTGTAGCCACGCGCGAGGCTCTTGCGCCAGCTCGCGTCCAGAGCAAACCCAGCCGCAGCACTGGGGCCGCCATGTCAGACCGTACCAAGGCCCCGAGCCGGAGGGGGTGAGGACAGGTAGTCGGAAACGGCCAGCGCCCACGTGCCTTCCCCACCCCTCCGGGCCTCAGGGACGGAAACGCCGGCAGGGAAGGTGGGTTGAGGTTGTTTAGGAGCGGGTTCTTCCTTTTCCCTCTTCGCTTTGCCCCCCCCCGCAGTTGGTAGCACCCCGCCCTTTGCGCTCAGAGGCCGGCGCGAGGGTGGAGTGACGCGTGCGCGGGCGGCGGCTGAAGCTGTGTGCAGTGGTGTGCGGCGCTGTGCGGCCCGCGGGTACACGCTGCCTCGGGCGGTGACTTTCGGTTTTTTTCGTAGCTGGACCCGTTTATAAACATGGACAACCAGCTCCACCCAGCGGCCCTCGCTTCTGATCCCCAGGCCCCATGTGTGTGGCACGGGGGCCACCAAGCAGCCGCTCGCAGGCTGGAGCTTCGCCAGCCCGCCAGGGAAAAGCCGCAGGTTTCCCATCCTCTTCTCTAAAAGAGGGTCCACTTTTAAAGCCTGTTCGTGACCTTTTATATATGCTTGCACTTTTGGGCTGCAACCCATGGGTTGAGAAACGCTGGTTTAGAGTAATTTTTGTCCCTGGAAATCTTCAAGAGCAGATCTTCAAGGTTAGGCAGATGCTGGCTCAGGTGAATGAGGTGGGGATAATCCTGCCTTGACCAGGGGGCTGGACTGGATGCCCTCATGAGGGCCTTTCCAGCCTGACTTTCCAAAGGTCCTAAATAGCCACAGAAATCAGTATCTAACCTGCACTTAAAAACTTACAATGAGGTTGATTTTTCCTCCCTCCCAGCCTCCCTGTTCCAGTACCTAGTATATAGCTTGGAAATGTGTGCTAATACCTAATGTAAATCTTCCTGGTAATTTAGGCCCATTACTACTTTTCCTGTCTCCTGTAAATGAGGAGGATGCTCTATTGTCATCCTTATAATGACCCTTACTGTATTTAAAGACTTATCAAATCCACTTAGTTATCTCTTCTCTAGGCTAATCCCACTGGTACCACGCTTCATCATGCATCTCTTGCGTTCGTTTGTGTTTGTATAGTCTCTCATACAAATACAACCTGAATTTGATTCAGACTCTTTGGTGCTGTGGCAATATAAAAATAATACAATATTAATACAAGTTTCTCTTGCTTTATGTGGGTTCGATATGTGCAAATTTGCTCTTATGCAATGACCCTTTTTATACCAAGAATTCATTATATATGAGGTAAGCTCGTTCTTTATGGGATCAGCGTGGTGGAAGCCTGCAGTCAGCTGCTTTGTGTGATGCATTATGGGAGTGATGCACACCAAATACAGTCTCCTGTGTGGATCTGTGCTCCTTGCTCATAGTCTGCAACATGTTTCTGTAGTTGCCATCCCCATTATGGTAACATTCACCACCACCCTGTGCTTGTGTGTACTGTCTGCTGTTGGTGAGTACCAAAATTATCTTGTAAAAGTGATACAAATGGGTCTTGGGGTCAGTGCAGTCGAGGTCTTGGAACATATCCCCAATACACCTGCCAAGAAAACCCTCCCAAAAACCCAAATATTAATCCAGTGTCAAGTACTTTCCAAATAAGTTCAGTGCCTATTTCAATTAAAAAAAAATTCAATGCAATTTGAGCTCACAAGTATTTTTTTCAAAACTGTTGTAGATTAAGAATTATTAAGTTTGAAAAGGGAAGTGACATAGAATTATTACACTTTCACAAATCTCTCATCCATGTCAGCAGGTTATAACTACTGCTTCCCAGTAGAGATGTGGTGAACAGCTGATTAGAATTCATTGTTTACTTTCACTTTGCCTTATATGATTTATGTTCATAGAAACCTAAACTCAAAATAATTACTATGGATATTTGGCAGGTCTGCCTATGTTCTCCCCAAAATTTGCAGTCATAAGGCAGCCATCATTTAAAAGCACGGCCAAATTCTCGTCATTCTTTGTAGATTTCCAAAAAGCACAACTGCTGCAGGTATCCTAGACCTTAACATTATTTATAGTCCCTACTCTACTTGCTCAGTTCTAGTGTGGTTTGTTTCTCTGATCTGATGGCCTTCGCCAAAACTGGAATCTGATTTGCCGATACTAAGTACTGATCAACTTATAAACTAAGGCTGAGAAACTCACTTTATTATGCATTTTTAGGAAAGTTTTTCTAATATTGCATTCCAGGCCACATGATAACTTTCCATTAAGGCATCTAATTTTGTAAAACGTTTATCATCTTAACCTTAAGACCACCTCACAAAAAAGCAGTGCTGATGGAAATGATGACAGTGGCAGCAGATCCACCCATCTTTTGTAGTAAATTTTTATTTGGGACTTGAGGAAGATGTTGTAAGATTGCACTCATGCACCTAAGAAAACCTGTGCGCTTAACAGGTGGAACAGAATCAGAAGACCAGAATCTCTGGTCTTCAAAATGGGCAAACTGATAGTTTTAAGTCAATGGCTGTGGTATGGCATGGGTGTATTTTGTACATATTACTAAAACAAACCAAAGATATTCTTGCAAACGCCTAGCCCTTCTAGCAACCTTAGAATACATGCAGAAATGCTCAGGTAGATTTTCTTCAGGAATTTCCATTGCAAAAACAAAACAAGAAACTGAAATTGCAGATCAAACATCACATTAGGGAAGTAAAACCTTTGGAAAATAGAGGATTAGATGGAGAAACTTCCTCTCAGTTGTGACTGTACAATATTGTGTACAGGAGGCTAGAGAATTATTGCAGAAAATTAATAAATCCGAATCTAGTAAGCTCATCAGTTACTGTTGAAAACTGCTGTGCAGCTCCTTCAAATCCATATGGCTCAGTAAAAGGAGTACACTGCTCAGGGCAATTCTATTCATAGCTTTAAAATATTCATGATTATGTTTAAGCAACATACCTTGCTTAAATGCATTTTCCTTACCCCATTTATTTCAGTGCTTACTTTCATATTGACCTTTTGTAAACAGCATACTCATCAAAATACTGAACAATGTCTGATCTGAGAAGAAGCTGTGCAGATTCTGGTGACATATAAGATGAAGCCAGCTTTAAAGAAGGTCACAATTGCGACCCATCTAATGGCAACACAGCACATCTACCAGCTGTGGATTAGCTCATATGTACTGATCTTGGAAGGCTTTGGATGAGTTTTGTACATCATCAGCCTGGTCCATACTACTAAACCATCTTCTCTATGCATATTATAGGGCTCCAAACTGCATTCTACCCTGGCATGCAAAAGGATAATGTATATAGGATTTTTCACATCTTCAAATTCCTGCCTCAAAGTAGATTTTTACATTATTTATAAAACCTCAAAAGGATTAATTTTTAGAGACAGTGGGCACTTCTACACGAGACACTACTGGATATTTATTTAGTACGTGTATTAGCAAGTACTAAACAAATGTGCAGTAACTGGAGTTACTTTGCAGCAGCACTGGCAAATGTCTTTTAGATGACACTACTGCAGTAGCCTAATAATACTGCATAGTAGCATATTAGTACTCTGTGCTGTGACACGCTAGCACACAGTATTGTGCAGTAAACATCTCATGTAGACATGTCCAGTGAGTACTTACAACTTTCTCTGACATGCATGGGATTTTTAAATGTTTAAGGACATAATAAATCCAGACTTAAACTTCTGTGTACAGACTTAGATTCTTTTTCCCCCTTGGGAATGATTCTGATGGAACAAAAGGTCTTCAAAGAAATATACTGACATGTTTGGTTGAGGAACTGTGTGAAATCAATATTTGTCAAAGAAAATTATGTAATTACTGTGAAATCCAACTGAACTGATTACAACAGAAATGTTAACTTGACTAAGTTTCTTCAGTGTTGTGTCCAAAGGAAAAAGGCAGATTGGAGGGCAAATTATTTCATTCAGCACTTGGGACTTTTGTGTGTTAGCAAATAAATTCCCATTATTTCTGTAAATCTTTTTCTCTACTATAATTCTGAATTCACAGAAAGCTTATACATACAATACTTTACTGACTGAAGTCAGTAAATATTGCGTGCACACACACAAACACACATGTGTTTTAATATAGCTAAAGGAAAGTACCTAATCTGTTATGAGTTCTATTGCAGATGATTCAAGGTCCACCTCATAACAGCCTTAAAAAAGAGTGGTCCAAATTTAAACTCATGAAGAGCCACATTTCTGTTTCCTGCATAATACCAGATCAGAAGATTGTAAAAATGTAAGTGCTTGAGGAAGATAGAAAGCCAGATGGTTGCAAACTCAGAGATAGTGAAGTATGCATATGAAACAGCATAGTCCCAATTCATACTATGCCACCCAAAGTGTAAAAATACCAGTACATTCTAAAGAGATCTCATCAGATACATGTTACTGAATCATGCAAAGCAAACATATGACTTTTTTAAGCAGCAAGGCTATATTCTCACCATGAAACCTGTTAAGAGTTGCCTTGTTTGCTATTTTTCAAATACTAATTAAATCAGGGTAGGTACCAGAATACTGAAAGTGTGAAGAAGCCTAGTGTACTTTAAGAGAAAGTAAATTTTCTCATCAAATGTACAGCTATCACCCTATCAGGATTATTTGTTACCTGGATTAATTTCTCCAGTGTGCTTCCTCAAGCATTCATTCCACATTTAAATAAAGAGCAAGATACAGTGACATATTCTGTCATTCACCTTATACCTTACATTCAATTTATACCTCAGCTCCCCTTATAGATTTGGACTTTAGAGTGGATTTCCCCTTTATAATCCACTCCACAGAAAGATCTGGACAATTAACATAAGGTTTGACATTTATCCCAACACACTTTCCCTTTCCCCTATATCTTTATTCTTTGAGACAATCCTCACATTGTAAACATAGAGTTATCATCACCAGGGATCAGGGTTTCCTATTTCCCATAGAAAAAAACAGGAAAAAAAGTGCTCCCCAGCCCCTGTGTCTAAGGAAAATGTGGATTTTTCATTTTAACAGAGAAACCCATGGATTTT